GGGGGGTCGACAAACTCCAAACATGAGATTTGTAAACAAAATACACATTTATAGATCTCTATGCCCCAACACCTTTCCCGTACTCAATAGGCTATACAATGGTTGTTATGCGCTGGCGGGCTGTTTTCAATATTTAAAAAATTCTAAATCTTTTTTTGTGATGTTTCTCCCGGTGAAAAGTGAGAAACACGCCTTTGCACTCGTATCGAACAGCTGGATAGAAATCAGTCGCTCACATGCAGGGGCGGCGGCTGGTTTGTTTGATAGGGTGGTCACAGTGAGGTGAAAAACCGAATAGACTGAAATTTTCCAGTCAATAGGCACAGAATTAACAAAAGCCTACTTCTTATTTCCGAGGTCAAAATTATGTACACCCGCCAAAAAAAGCAACCCCGATAGAGTCAAGAAAAAATCCCATTTAATAGTTTAACAATTCCCACTTTGGCAAAATGCATAGATTTAGATTAATAACTTTAAAAACCCAAATGGGTAGGCACACAGAAGTTTCAAGATTTTTATTTTTGTTAGTGTAAATTTACCTAAAAAACGGGAATACACATACACAAACAAAAGGCAAACATAGCATTGGCATATTTAAGAGATCTCAATAAAGAGAAGAGCAGTGTCGCTCTTCCACCTTCTTCCGCAACCTCGTTCGAGTCCCAGCGACTGACACGCTTCTCAGAGCTCACGTACGCACCCTAACCCTAACCCTTATAATAAGTGTCCATCAACTGTGCAGATTTTGTTATCTGCTAGCCCACTCAAACCACATCCCCTTCATCATACCAACTCACCTTTCCCCCGTTTTTCTTTAATTAAAAATGACTTCGTGTTATTGTCAGTAACGACATAACTTCTTCTTGTTGCGTCGACTGAGGAGCCACTGCGTTTGAAAGTCAGAAGTACTGTTTGAAACAGAAAGTGGGGGAGGTTTGGGGAACTCCCACTCCTTCCCTCTCTATGTCTAATTGAACTTCGCGTACTGTTATGTAAAGAGGGCCTATAGACTTTGAACACACAAAGTATTGTAAAGCAGCTCAGAGAAACTAATTGCTCAGCTTAAACCGGGTTGCTAGGCAAATTTCTACTTTGAAAAAGGGTTCTTATGTGGACAAAAAATTCCTGCACGAAGTCGAAATGGGTTCTAGGATGACCGGGCTCTTACACGGTGTGATCTTTCGCGGGGACCTATGTTTATGGGTACAATTTACAAAGCTTGGGTTATAACGGTTCAGGGGG